TCAGGAACTTTCTAAGTAAATTGCTTTTCATTTCATGCAAATATCTTCAACGGTTCAAAAAGTTATGACCATTTGAAGGACGAAGGTTACATATAGCCGAAAAAATGACGTTGTAAGCTGAGACATTCATTTCTTTGCCAAGGTGATATAATATTTATGGCTAATCTGTATATTTATTTTAGAGTTAGAGTCAAGAACACATAATGCAAACATGTTCAACACTGATTTCACCAATGCTTTAATTAAAAACTGACCCAAAAGATGTCAAACGTAAGTTTTCCAATATAACCCCGACTTTGCCCAGATGACACCCAAAATAAACTTCCGAAATGAGAAACAACTGGCTTTGTCGAACTGCCACACACATTATATTCCTTTTTGTCATTCTCGAAAATAAGAAAACAAGACCAGGGTCTGTGGAACAACGACTAGGTACTTCACTGTAGCACGCAGGGGACCCGAGTTTGATTTCCGAGTTGGGAGAAAAATAATATTTATCGAAGATCTCGCTCTTTCTGCTGGGATGTTGTAGCCCACTCAGCCCCGGTTAGCCCTGACAGGCAGGATCAGAAGTCCACCTTGTGAGTGATTTAAATTGTTTTGATGTGGACATTAAAAGCATATTCACGAGTTAGTGCACCTACCTAGGCCAGGCCAATCAAAGGTGCAAAATAAAAGAGGGAGGAAAGGTACATGTCTGACAGTAGATATGGAATTGATTGGCCGAAAATGTTGGATATTAATGTGCACCCTATTGGTATCTATCTATCATTACTCTGGGGGACATTGGTTGCTGCATAAGTGTATTATTCACAAGCCATATGCCAGAATACAATTAATGTAATATTTTCCTAAAATTTGCAATGGGGTAAGTTTGCATTTCCAATACCCAATGACATTATGAGGTTTGCTAACCATTATCAATCCCATTGTCCTTTAAAATTCCTTGTATTATGAAAGGCGGTGGCTTTTCATAAATATCTTAATAAGAATAATTTGTCGGGTTAAGGCTATAGACAGCACAACTTGCAAATATGTTTGCATTAAACAAAAAGGAACAAATGATTGATTTCACGGAACCTCTCCACAGTAAGGTGCTCTTTGGTTTTTTATGTATTCTTTGTTTATTTTTGGTTTTTTTTAATAGATATTCTTCGTTCCCATTAACAATAGCACACCTTCACATCCCCCCTCCCCATACACTCGGATTTACATATAATGCCTACAATTACAAAATGTAATGTATGCACATCCACCTATCCACCCCCATTAACACACGAGCACACACTCATACTCTTAAACATAATATAATTCATCCACACACACACACACACACACACACACACACACACACACACACACACACACAAATCTGCATTTATGTTAAGAGGAGCCGGAGAAATACACTATTTCGTTAATTCAGTCTCTACTGTGTAATCGTAAGGACAGTCCCTCAAACTTAGCATAATTAACAAGCCAATCAGCTATAAACTGAGTTAGTGAAGTGAAGATGGGAAGGGGTGGGGGCGGGGGGCGGGGGGAGAGGAGGGGCAGTTATTGAATTGGAAGAGACCCGCATGCACAATAAATGAGGATCACGTTTTGACAGTTTTCCAATAGGAGGACAACGCCATTCCACCCTGCTCATTGTTTGTCGGTGTGTGAGGAACAGACAATGAGTCCATTGTCAGAACTTCGTCTGTGGTGATAAATGACATAATATGGAGGGACAGAGAGGGACAGAGACTGAGAGAGAGAGGAGAGAGAGAGAGAGAGAGAGAGAGAGAGAGAGAGAGAGAGAGAGAGAGAGAGAGAGAGAGGGGGGGGGAGACAGGGAGACAGGGGGAAGGGGAGAAATATAGTTACTATATGTATAGTTTACAATATCATATTTATAAATGTACATGTAGACATAAATAATACACTGTAGATACAGATTTGCAAACGTTCTGTTACACCCACCTTCAAAGTACAATAACTCACTTACTATTCAACACAGCCTCGCGAAATTTGGCATACTTAATCTCCATCTATCTTCTGGCAACGTGGCATGAAACCAATTGGCGGACGTTGACTTCTAAAATTTCAATCTTCTCTTCCATCAAGGCGGCAAATTGAAAACCTGGACCATTGCTAAATTGGAGACTATACCAACGCCACTCATCGCCAGTATTGATGCGCCCAAATAATGTGACTGCTATCATGAAACTGGGTTAAATTGGCTCTATATAAAGGGCGATAATCACGTAATTCACGACACGTAAACGACTAATAATGGTGTTTTAAGACAGTCTGAAGTACCTGCACTTGATTGAAAAAGGCTTCATACGTGGGTGTTGAGAAAAACCCATTTCAGAAATCGAGTTGTCGCTCTCTGTTGGCCACGTTTAAGCCTGTAAAAATGATTTAATTTTATAGCGTGTAAGGTGTACTTACACAATGTCTGTGTGATTCGACGCACATTTTGTGTGAAGAATCCGTCGATTTCAATAAAGCACTATCATAAAACAATACCAACACTTTGCCTACACACGCTTTATGATTTCCTTCGTCTCCACGTGCACGAGGAGTCTCATAAGTCACAAAGCTCTTTTTTTAATATAGATGCAGTGTTTAAATATTAGTGGCAATTATCGTAGTTTAAAGAGTGTGACGGAACTTTTGGAATTCGTTTTATATAATGTTAAAAAATAAATATACACATAAATGTTTTTATATATTTTCTTTCTCTCTCTATCTGCCAGTCTCTGTTTCTCGATAATGTCATTTATCAAAATAGCTGTGACAATTAACGCCGTGCCTCTTTCCCACACATAGACAAACAACGAGCAGGGTGGGACTATCTATTTATATTTATACAGATAGATAGATAGATAGATAGATAGATAGATAGATAGATAGATAGATAGATAGAGAAGAGAGGGCGACAGAGAAAAGAGAGAGAATAGAAAGACAGAGAGATAGGGAGAGGGAGAGAGAGAAAGAGAGAGAGAGAAAGAGAGAGAGAGAGAGAGAGAGAGAGAGAGAGAAAGAAAGAGAGGGAGAGAGAGAGAGAGAGTGGGAGAGAGAAACAGAGGGATAGAGACTGAAACAGTGTTTTTTGTTTTAGTAAGTGTTTTACGGCACTCGCATCACAATAAGGTCTTATAAGTGCCGAAGATTAGAGGTGTTACAAGAGAGCAACAAACACAAAAAAGAAGGAGGGGAGATAGAAACGATAGATTTTTTATAGGAAAGAAGGAGCAAACCACACCAGAGCACCTGCCAACCACTCACTGAAACAGTGTGAGATTGAGACATAAAGGTAACGACAGACAGACAGACAGGCAAACAGACACACATCCATACATCCACACATACACACCCAGAAATGGAGTAGAAAGAGACACAGACCAATACACGGGGACTGACAAACAGATGTACCAATAAAATGAGGGACACAGACAGAGAAAAAGATACAAAGACTGATGAACGGAACAGACAGCGGGATTAAGAAAAAAAACAACAACATCAGAATAATAATAGTAAAGATATATTTACGTGCTAAAGGGGTAGGTGTTCAATAATACAATTTGAACAATAAACTAAGTTGCCAATAACTATCCAATTTGGTGGACTGTCAAACGAGGCACTATAAAAGGAAATGAGATAGAAAAATAAATAGATAGGTAGCTAGATAGCTAAATAGCTAGATAGCTAAATAGCTAGATAGCTAATGGATAGATAAATAGATAGATAGATAGATAGATAGATAGATAGTTAAATAGATAGATATATAGATAGATAGATAGATAGATAGATAGATAGATAGATAGATAGATAGATAGATAGATAGATAGATAGAGAGAAAGATAGATAGATAGATAAATAGATAGATAGATAGATAGATAGATAGATAGATAGATAGATAGATAGATAGGTGGGTTGATAGATAGATAGGTAGATCGATAGATAGGTAGATGGATTGATAAAGTTTAAAAAATACATGTATATATATCTTTAATCAGGCTGGACACAAACAAAACTCTGCCGACAACAACATCTTCCTTACGATGCATCATTATCAACAATCTTTAACCATTTAATTCTTTTAGTTATAGGTTGAATAACTAATTCAGACCGACTCACTGTACTGCAATCGTGCATATGTAAGTGAAATAGCCTACGCCAGGCTGTAAAGAAAACACCATTCAAAAAATCTGTCTGATATCCTCACTTTGGAAGGCCCCAACACGAAGGGAATTTGTGTTGGCCGTTGAAAAGGGTCAACAGACGTGTCCATAAATCACACACTATGAAACATACAATGACAGTTGAAGTGCGGAAACAGATTGCGGGAAGAAGTAGTAGGAGGAGAAGGAAGAAAGTCATGGTCCTTGAAGGTCTTATCAGGCAGAGTTGGTAGTGTATAAATTTGAAAGTATCTAATAGAAGGTTAAATGGAAATGGGAAATCCAGGGTATTAATAGATTATGCTCGGTGCTAACAAGTTCCGTATGTGAGTAGGCCTTATGGGACATTTTGAGAGCCAACGTCTGTAAAAATGTATGCTTCAAAGCAAGAACCTCCCTTCTTCAAATTCCCTATGTTGATTGGTGATTATTAGTTTTGTATACATGGATTATCTCCAACTAAACACGTAGAAAGGCTACAGGAAGCAGTTGAGAGTTCCAAGGAAGGAAAATATAAATAAGTCTGTGTTTGGTGAAGCTAATCAACTACTTTTGAAAAGAGACAACGAATGCATGCTTTGAGACCCCGAAGGTAGGAGATAGACTGGTGAATGAAATCAATGTATGTATCTAAAATCATCACACAAAAACTCCAAAAACGACCGCACTCATTTTTCTTGCCAACAGGCTAAAAAGGTGACCATACAGGAGTTTCTGTTTTAATTAGTCATTTTTTTTCTCCCAAATTTTACCAACACGGAGGGTGAAGAAGCTTGCTATGATAACGTTAAATCTTCGTCAGACGTCAGACACCCAGCCCTTACTTACCTGAAGATTTTCTGTTCTAAACTGTGTTTTCACGTTGCTCTGGGCATCCAGAACTTGACCCTGGAGTCTACGTATGTCAGCCTATATCAGAACACGACATGGAAAAAAACCATCATGAACAATTTAAAATCCCTCAAAAAAGACACTTAATTACAAAATACGTCTTTTGAAAGTTGTTGTTAACAAGATGTACTTTGAAAGAATTTAGAAGAACTATTGTGTGGATTTTAAAGGTTAAAGATTTTACCCTAGAAAAGAATAATCATGATGTAAAGTTACTTGGTCATAGTATTATCGACTCTGGGATTCCTCCAGGTCGTTAGGATTTACGAGAGACAAAACTAAACACACACAATAAATGCTCAATAAACACTATAAGTAGTAAAGCAAGGAGAACAGAAATGAAATGAGAACAGACCTTAATCTACGTACTATTAGCGACAGGTAGGTACTGGTAAAAAAAAAGAAAAAAAAGAAAAGGAATGTATGGGCTAATACTAAATGGAGAACACAGATCTGCCATGAAGGATCATAATAATGGAACTTGGTTTTTTGCGTTTGTTTGTTTGTTTGCTTTTTGACTCGTGGTCTTATTTTTATAAAAATACAAAATCTCAACAATCTAAAATACATATTAGACATGTTTTCTGAAATGGCTCAGAGATGCATGACATAAAGTCTTGCAGTTTTGAATCAAACAGAGTGTGCTTGGCGGTATGATCAGCGTTGATTTTGAATGAGAGAATAATTAAGATCTTGTTACTGTTGAGTTGGATTCGCTTCTGCTGCCGTGAGTGATAATGCTGTTCATGATGGTGATCTAGGTGATGATGACAATAAAGAAAGGGATGACGACAACGACGTTGATGATGATGATGATGACGATGATGATGATGATGATGATGATGATGATGATGATGATGATGATGATGATGATTGTCTGGAACAGCAACCTCTTAAAACTGTATAATTTCACATAATGCACTGGGGGTACAGACGTAATGCAATGTCAAAGTAATTTTATGTTTACCTCCCCGTATGTGATCAGCATCTCGGAAGTTTCGTGAAATCCGTACACATAGCACAGAGAGAAATATCTGAATGAATTGTTCCTCTCTCTCTCTCCCTCTCTTTCACACTCTCTTCTCTCCTTTACCAGTGCGTTGCCTCCCTATAATAACATTCCATGTTCTGTAGTTCCTTGTCATGAACACTTTCAAGCAGCACCTACTAACACCACCATTTATTATGAACGTTACAAACTACTGCACATTAAGTCTGTTTCATAGTTTCATGTAAAACGTGAGCTGAAAAAAAAAGAACAAAGGAATCATATAAATCATGTACCATACATGTATTATAATGCAACTGTATGTCTAGAAGTCACATTTACCGCACGTTTCCATACCAAAATACTCTTTCTTGTTGTTAATAATACGTACTGCTCGCTTTCCTACGTTGCAAGTTATTTGCGATCTTTGCGTTAAAAGAATGGAAAACACAATATAAAGTTAAATTGTTGTTGAAGTCACTGTCATTCTTACAGGCTTTACATAGAATAATAAAATAACCATAGATTTTCACTCAATTCTGTACACTACGAGACCCACAGTCACGATTAAGTTAAGACTTTATGGTGCAGGTGGAGAGACCGAGTCCAGACAAGGAGCTGTACCTCATGCAGGCTATCTGTCACTTTAATACCAGGCTATAAATATTCACAAGGGAGATTGGATTGTAAAAACAAAGGTTCTGGACATTTTTATGTTCGCTTCGATCATGTGATTAACGTGTACCTGCCAACAAAAGCTTTGCTTCTCGGCCACTAGTTTTACAATGTTGAAATGTTCACAGCTACGTTCGACAGGGGCGGGGG